GCTCCAACCGCCAGGCTTCTCGGTCCTTACGCAAGCTTTGCCCAATTTCCTTACGTAACATCCTTCGTTTATGGTCAAACTCACGGTCACCCGGAGTAGACCGACGGGCTTCAATAAGTTGTAAGAAACCAGAAGAAACCCAGTGCTTATAAGCGGGACGTTTCGCAAACCCACAACTGACTGTTCCCGCCATTTTCATGGCGTCATGCATTTGCGACCAATGCTCATCTATACTTTTCGGTGGAGTGGTAGCTAGCCTAGAGGCTAGCTCGATTCGATACTTATTTGCAACAGAAGTTGCAACCAACTTGCTAATATCAATCCTTTGCTGGCGGTCACTTCATTGTCCACTGAAAAGTAAGGCAAGGTTGCTGATCGCGATGTGATCAATCTGAGTCCAGGCTTGATATGCAGAGGGAAGACGCTAGGTGGCACATCGGCGATGACTGTGTCGAAAGTTAGTGCTAGCCAGAAATAGGTTGTGGCCTGTGCAAAATTGTAGTAGACGGTCCCCGTTATCTGACCTGCGACCAACAAGTCCCCATCGGCCACCAAAACGACTCTCTTCTGTGCCTAGACGCCCGACCTGAGCATTCAAGTCTCCGGTTAGTACTACAATATCTGCCGAACGCACTTTCTGGAGAAGGGCAGATAACTGGTGGTGAAACTCATCCTAGATTGCATCCGGGCTGCAATCTATCGGCGCATAGGCGGAGATGACGAAAAGACATCGCTTCTCACGCCGATTTCTTCTCACTTTGATGGAACTTTCTAATCTAACAGCACATAACCGACTGTTAATGGGGATCAAATCGACTAGTGCTGCCTCAGCTCTAGCGCTTAGTGCGACACCAACGCCAGCAAGACCAGACGAAGATGCCACAGGGTCCCCGGACAAGCGCACGTAAAACAAGCTTTTCGAAGCGACAGATGGAGATCGAATTTGTAGTACTTCGCCAGAGTCTTGAATACGGGTCTCGGATAGACAACAAACATCAATATTAAGACTTTCCAAAGACCTAGCCAGCCCTATCTGTTGTCCGACCTGCACTAGTGTGCGAACGTTGAAGGCAGCCAGTTTGAATGGTGCACGTGGTTTCAGAAAAACTGCTTCAGTTCTCGTAATCGGTGGTAACATACAATTTTCAACCGGACAGTGACTCGAGAACGTTTAGATACAGTCGAATTTCCACCAAAGACGAGCCGCTGTATAAGTATAAAAGAGGGTGAATAATGTGGAAAATAATGATAATAATAATAATGACAATAATGGTAATAATAATAGTATTAATAATGACAACAATTTTAATGATAATAATTTGAATCAATTTATTGTTTTTCGAAGCGAGAAAAGTAATTTCCATAGACATGAAGAGTTTATCATTCGTGTGTGGGCTGTGATACTGCCCGGGTTCCCAAACCGAAGCAGGTGGTTATCTTAGGGGGCCACACCCCGAGCCTTTGACCTAATGGTCTAACCCACAAGGCAGTGGAGCACCGTAAGGAGATGCAATCCCATGGTAGCCGGTGACCAACGATTGGTTCATACGCCATTTGTTCCCGCAGGATACTGGAGCCCGTGTGCACCATTAGTTTGTGATCCGGTTAAAGCGCCGGACGTTCGCTTTTCGTCCTCTCATTTTCGTAAACAACACCCCCGCCACGAGAAGGCAGTGAGTAGGACTTCCCTGGCAGAGGCTGTATACGCGCGGCCGTGTGAGAGTATTTCGAGAGGGAGAGCGAACTCACCCCACTCTCGACCGTACCAGGGCGCTCGGGGGCTTGTATAATGTGAACTGGATTCACACTTAGTAATAACGATTCTAGCAAAGCTCACAGCATTTTTGCATACCATTTAATATCAAGTTACGGGAAAGACTTACAACTCCTGGCTTGCAGTTCAATAAAAGTTGGAGGTAAATATAATAAGTTGAGATAATATGATAATTAGTGACTATTAAGTGAAAGAAAAGAAGCATGAGAACAATAGATTATCGCATACAGAAATCATTATTCTTTATTAACATATTATAAGCCATGCAGTGATCTAAAACAGCGCGATAACTACCGTTAGTGAAATTGTTCATGAGAATTTTTAAGCATCTTGTCATGTTCATAGAACACTTACCTAGTTATATTTATTTGCTTACAAAATGTCAGTTAACAAAAGAGTTGATTGAAAGAAACTAACAATCACATACCAATTAATACAAGTTCCTTGTAAAACAAATTTCGCTACTGTCTAGTATCCTTTGGATATCATGCTTCACCCAAAACTCGAGAAGTCAAAATTAAGAGGGGACAATCTGCATTGATTGGACAAATAAAGTTATAAAAATGTACATAAGAATCATTAAACCTACTGATTCGTGCACTGGCATTGACCAGTTGAATATGGACCAATCAATGTATTCCATCTTGGTCGAGATCAAAGCATACAACAATCGAGACTACATCATTCTAATTATATTGTACGGGTAGAGAGTACATATTGGCACAAGAACCTTTTTTTAAAACCTGAGAAATTCCAGTACATTTCGAACTGCACTGGAAAAATATCTACGGTAATTCAGATAATCGTTTTGATCTTCAGTCGAATCCATTAAAATTTTGCTAACCCTCTAATACAGTTATAATTACTGAAAAATAAATATTGAAGGCATTGAAATTTTTTTTACATCGAAACGCTACCATGAATATCAACCATGTATATTTCACTAATTAGTTGATTGGAAAAGTCATAGCAACCGGAAATGTGATTCATTTACACACAATTATTAAGACAGATGATTTTCTAATATATCATTACGAAATTTACCTAACAACGATGAATCACTCATTAGTAAGTAAACATCTACTTCAAACAACCCAAAGGTTATTTGTTCGAATCCTGATGCAATTAAAATCCCCTTTCAACCTCGATCGTTATCACTGCATATTTCAGATAGCCTAACTGAAATTATATTTTGTGCACATAATTTTATATCAAACGATATGTAGCACTCAATACAATATTTCAGTACATTGATCGATGAACAAATGCATACATGTACATGGCAAGATTGGAATTCCAAGTATATTCCCAGGGATTCAAGTAATCAATAATTCAAATAAGCACATGATGTATAGCATTTAGATCCTATGATCAAAATGTCGTGACAATCAATTGATCAACTGCCCACCTGTGATGTTTCTCAGATAATTTGAATATGGATAAAACTTGATTTTAGGAGGCCATAACGAAACACACCTGAACAAATTGTTTGATTTTTCAAACGCCTGTTAAGAACGTCTAGACAAATTAAGTTTTCAGAGAAACATCGATATTGGGTAACAACTGACGAAACATGATTTTATCAAAATGAATAGATTGTTGGTTACTTAGTTTGATTACTTGTTGTTACTTTGAACTTATTAAATGTGATTGTAAATTGAGGTAATGCGATCACAGACACAAACGAAGTATGCAGGATATGTGAGTCATTTAGTGAACCGAAAGTTGATATCTATGGTAGCTGAACAGCTATCAATGAAAGTACAATCGAGGTCAGAATTTTAAGTTTAGCACGTGGTGATACTTAATGCAAACACTATGACTTTCTTTTCGTGAGTTGTACACAATTTTAAGTACGACAGCTTCAGAAACCAACAAACGATATTTTTATTTTTCCTCCTGTTAAAAGACGTAACCATGAGTTACTTTTACGAACGATCTAACACCCGAAAAAGGCTTCTAGGACCCTCTGTTCGAAATAGTTGGAGTTGGTGCAAAACCACTTCCTACTGATCCGAAAGTATGCTCTCCATTGGACGATTAAAATAACGTTACTGATTAGTCTAATTCGATTTATAAATATACAGACAACTCATACACACTTTATTGAAATTAGTCAAGTGGTATTATTAATCGTCACAGGATTCGAGGAATATCACCTTATATCTTATTCAGTATCATAAGTGTGTCAAGTTTTACAACCAATTGATACGATGATATTTATCTTAACTTAATACGGTTGAAATTCACCGGTCACAGCTTGTCACTACAACTATGGAAATCATCGCTTAAAATCATTTACATGACTTGTTAACATTAGTGGCTGTGGAGGTTGTTGAATTTGTAGTTTTACATCACTTACTTAAGCCTACTACTCCCTGTGAAAGAGCATATGCCACCCACCACTGATCTCCGTCCTGAGCAATCCTCTCCAGTTGATATTTATTCCTTTGATATCTACTAATTCCTGACATGTGTTCCTTGGTCTTTCACTTTTCCGTTTCCCTTAAGGACTCTAAGTTAGCGCTTCCCTACAATCACCTGGACTGATTATTGATTCTACTCTTTTGAAACAACCTTCACATGATGATAAACGATAATTTTTGAGATCTTGTTAAGAAAAATCACCCTTAACTGTTGAGTACCAGTTTCAATATATGACACACCACAAAGCTTATTTACTTTCTAAAGGTAAACATATATCATGATTTTTATTTTTTTTATCCCCATGCTCATTAAACGAAACCTGAAGTAAAATAAATCGGATCGATAGACTTTGAAAAGATATATGTTGCACCTGTTTTACATGACCTAATGTTTAGATAAGAAACAAACCCCTTAACATTAATTGATCATTGGGTGATCGATGTCGTATACGTTAAATTATTCTTAATGCCAACCGAATTCTATTGATCACGTTGCAATGTTTCGCACCATTTGACACTTGTTAGCAGGGTGTATCTGTAACCTTGAGGGAACTGATCCACCCTGGGGAATTCGATTGTGTCGCCCAGCTTCACAGAGACGTCACCACTGAGCTATTTGTGATGAGATATATTTACGATGAACTGATTATTGAATAGTGGCCAATGTCAAGTCCATCCTAGTGCTAATCAAATTCTATCGATTAAACGGATCGTTTATTTCGTGGTCCAATAAAAAACCCGTTAAAAACCTCTAACTTCTACTCTTTAACTGGTCTGTACCCTGATTGTAAAACAGCGCCTTTGAATTATGAATTCAATGAAATAAGTTGGAATTATATGCATTCCTATCATTGGTATATGCAAGTATTGTTGTGCACTTTAAAGAAACATAATGCACTGGTCAAAATATAATAAAAGCTTGAAGAGCAAAAGATTTTGAAATATTAGTAGTATCAAGAGAAGTATTTGAAATAATGATTTAAATGAAATGAAATTATACGTTAATTTATTTAGACATTTCACTGTTTTTGAAGATCAGTGATGTATTAATCACTCTATACCTATTGTCGGTGATGTACACTGTTGTAATGAACATCGCCAAAAGCTTTCCTAACATCAAAAAGAAAAATGACAATACAGGCACTAACTAACATACAGCTGAACTGTGTACAAGCCAGTGTATACAACATGATTACGAGTGAAATAGTGTAAGTTACAAAAAAAAATACTTCACTTTGGACCAAAGAAAAAGAAAGAAAATAAAAGATGAAGTGATCATGAAGAGATTATCAAAAATTTGTAATAGTTATTACAGAATTTACAAATTTGGAATTTTCTCCGCATATTTCCGTGTAAACTCTTCAGCATTTTTGAAGAATTTCTTTTGATCCTTAGCATATTCTTCAGCTAAATCTGAACGTAGAGCATGTTCAACTTCCGGTGCGTGAAGCATTGCAACAAGTGCTTGAATAACTGTAAACAAAGTGAACACCCAGTAAGAGTTCTCAAGCAATTTTTAAGGCGAATATGATAAGACTGAAGATTTAAAGTGAATTTTAAAATTATTTTCCGAACCAAACACTTTAAAAATAAAATATATCAGACTTAAATCGAACACATTAATGACCTAGATTTTTGAAAGTTAATTTATTCCGAGTACATCTTTATGTGTTTAAGCCAAAATTTACGAGTGCAGTATAGCTAGGAACAACAGCTTACTTCCTCAAATGAAAATGAAGCAATGTTCGAACATAACAGTCAAGTACCGATTAATCTACTATGTAAACCTACACTTCATATGACCGTAACAGGACTCATAATTGATTAGTCTTAAAAATGATGATAACTTACTTTCTAATTTTAGCCAAAACATTACATAAATTCGACTCATCAGCCATATGTAGTTATTGCATGTACTACATAGTGCAGATAAAAAACAACCTAGAGTGAAAAATAATACCTCCTTGATCAAATATTTAAGATTAAATATACAAAACAATAAGCAACAGATGCACCAATGGAAATAATTGCAATGACCGTGGGAAATTTTGTTGCTTTTTAAGATTTGTGTATTATATACAAAATTTCTAGACAGTGAATCTTGGTAATAAACCAATGACTAAGTTTTATTAATCGAATGAAATGTCTTAAATGAATCTTTTCAGGAAACCATACAGAATACAGTTCTAAAATCTGATAGCACTGACCACGAATGTTCAGCCAAAACACTGCAAACCAATTCGAGCACGAAAAACTTCTTGCGTTTATGAATGGGCTGTAGAATAATGGTTGTACTATACTCGAAAATGCATCTTAAAAATACATTGAATAAGGTGCATGAATCTCAAGCTAGCATGAAGACTGCTTAAAAGTGCATTTAAGTCAGTTATGTGACAAGCCTAAAATGGAATAGTCACGTATTTTACATAACCTATAATAAACATGAAAAATATCTGAACCAGCGCTGAATATACTCCCGAATGATACAGCGAATGAACTGAGGAATAAAATAATGAACACATTATTACATCAGAAACCTCACAACCCTAACATAAATAAAAATGAATATTACACATTAAAACAGATGAGAGAGGACAAAACGATCATAATAACGAGAGCAGATAAAGGTAATACTATAGTTATTTTGGATAAAATAGAGTATGAGAAGAAAGCCAAGGAACATCTACATGGACAAATCAAAGAAACAAAAAATAGAACGACTCTTAATAAACTCAAGGCGGAAACTAGCAAACTCTTACAGTCATTAAAAGTTAAGCTAGGATCGTCCTTATGGTTTATGTTATATCCAAAGAGTTGTAATCCATGCAGATTTTATGGACTACCAAAGATCCACAAGAATAATACTCCACTTAGACCAGTGGTAAACTATACAAATTCACCAACTTACAATCTAGCTAAATATTTAGCTAAGATTCTCAAACCATATGAAAAACGGATTATTCATGGAATTAAAAACTCTATGGAATTCAAGAATTTAATTGATACCATCGATATAGAAGAAGACGAAATAATGGCAAGTTTTGATGTATCTTCCTTATTTACTAATGTACCTATCAGTCGAGCTATAGATATTATCAATGATTGTTTAGAATCTGATTTAGATTTGAATTTACGATGCCCATTAGATCTATCAGAGGTTATAAAATGCTTAGAATTATGTTTAAGATCTACCTTATTCATATTTCGAAATCAACTTTACAGACAGAAAGAGGGCATAGCAATGGGCTCACCAGTTTCTCCGATTGTAGCGAATTTATTCATGCATTCTTTAGAAACTAGTGCAATCGCAAAAAGTTTATGTACACCAAAGTCATGGTTAAGGTATTCAGACGATATTTTTATTATCAATAAACGGGATGATCTGGAAGAACTATTTAACAATGTAAACAGCATTTCTGAAAACATTAAACTAAGGAATTAGAAGCAGTTGACCACAAACTAACATTTCTAGATTGTTTGGTTGTACGTCGACACAATAATAAGAAGTTGAAAATAAATGTTTACAGAAAATCAACACATTCCGAGAGATACTTGGATTTTAATTCATCCCATTCACAGAGCACGGAAATTAATGTGGTAAAAAATCTAATGAACAGAAGTACTAAGATTGTTACAGACAAGGAAGACCAACGAACCGAATTAAATAAAGTATTTTCTACTCTTAGGGATAACAACTACCCAAAAAGTTTTTTAAAGATTATTAAAAATGAAAGAAAAACTAAACTAGAAAGTACACGAAAAGAATGGAAGTACACCGTAGTCATACCTTACCGTAGTGAAACATCAGAAGAAATCAAACGGATTCTAAACAAACATGATATAAGAGTGTATTTTAGAGCGAATAACACATTAAGATCGACATTAGTGAAAGTTAAGGACAAGTTAGCAAAGGAAGAACAATAGAACATTGTATATGAGATTCACTGTCATGACTGTAATGCTACCTATGTTGGAGAAACATCCAGGCAATTGAATTTAAGATTGAAGGAACACAAACAATGCTTGAAAAATGTTCCAAAATCCTCGATTGATTTAAAGAAACTTGAAAATAAATCAGCGATAGCGTTACATGCGTTAGAAACAGGACACAAGATTAATTTTGAAGGGACCAAAATACTTCAGAAAAGTTTTAACACCCATAAAGAAAGATTAACAGCAGAAGCGCTGCATATATGGGCGAACAAGGATAGTCTGAACCGAAAAGATGGTATTCAACTGGCAACTACCTGGCAAATTTCGTTTGACAAGTAAATTTGGAACCTATCTCTTGTTTAAACCTGTTTTTTAATATCACATGCATCGTTATTATTTTTGAAAGAATTCAATGAGCTTTTTAAACAATACAATTTATGTTGTGACATGTACATCGATGTTTCATTATCAATTTTTCATCCTTGAACTTGAACTTTATTTATTCCTTCATATCAATCTCTCACGCATACATACATACCTACACACATATATGATTTGTTACTCAGATAAGTATTTCCATGTAGTTGAATTCTTCACATGATTTGTAGTTAACTGACTCATTCTATCCTATTTTAAAAAACCAACATCCATATATGATTGGTTTAACACAGTATAATCCTGATTGTTAAAAGCTATATATTTCTTTGATAATTTTGATTTTGACTATTACCCTGAAGAAGTCCAGACAAGTTAGCTGGACGAAACGTTGGAGTTAGTTAAATTTCAATCGCTGAAAATATTTCAAATATAATTTTCACATATAATGACTTTTCTATACTCGGCGCTCAATTACTGTCAAACTATTCGTTTTATCTTGACGAATATTCGTATAAGGAGATAGATTAAATTTATTTGCAGAAAACAACGCAATGAAATATTGTGCATAAGATTACCTTACTATTTCTACACGAAACTGAATATTTCCTGAGCATTCACATACAATTATCAAAACTTACCGTGTTCTACTTTAGTAGCAGGTTTCCAGTTTTCTGGGTTAATTATTGGTAGGCATATTTGACCTTTCTCATCAATATTTGGATGATATATGCGTGTTTTAAATATCACCTTAGGAGGTTTGAAAGGATATTCAACAGGAAAAGTGATTTCAATTTTGAAAGCACCCTTATTATAGGGAGGTTCGTCCTAAATCACAATAAATATAAAAACACGATACCTTATTCATGTAAACATATTTTTCATTGTCTATTTTCCGGACGGTTCATTCCGGAGGCACTAGACTTTTATGTTATGTTTGTTAAGTGCAACGTGCAGGCTGGTAACGATTTCACATGAAGTTTTTCCTAAATAGCTTTGTCCCAACATCTGAAAAACTAATCTTAACACAATGAATGTTGGTTAGCTTATCTATAATTCCACGTAAGAGTCATCGGTGTGACCAAGTGTATCAATACATAAAACTAATAAAAATATGTAGTTCTAACGGTTATTATGTGTAGGGTAATTGTCAGTACCACAAAGTAGACGTTTAATGATATATGTACGTATACGTCATTATAAGTAGTAGATGTATGTCGCGTTAATATCCTACTCCCTGCATTCTTGTGACGAGGGTGTTGTTTATGAAATTGAGAGGATGAAAAGCGAATGCTCAGCGCTTTAACCTGGTTGGTGGACATAGAGAGTTTACCTAGGGGAGTTGGAAAACCCTGATCCCAAATCAATGGTGCACATGGGCTGCAGTATCCTGAAGGAACAAATGGCGTATGAACCAATCGTTGGTCACCGGTTACCATAGGACTGCATCTCCTTATGTTGCTCCACTGCCTTGTGGATCAGACCTTTAGGTCGAGGGCTTCGGGTGTAGCCCCCTAAGAAAACCGCCTGCTCAAGTCTGGGCACCCGGTCAGTATCACAGCCCACACAAAAATCAAGTGAACTGTGTGGCGTATTGTATTCCGTGCTCTTCTGTACAAATATTTAAGTATTCAAATAATAATAAATGCCTAATACAAAAAATCTATAATGAGACTTCTTAAATTTGTCGCTGCTATATTGAGAACGAAATCACTTTATATTGCATACTTTCTTGGTATGAGATGTGGTAAATTATTTGTCGAATGCATGTTTAGACGTAAAAATTACATTATAACTCTCTTCATCACATAAGTACGCATAGTTTGCGAACAAACTGATAGCCTCGAATATGTTAACATAATTGATAGCTAAACACGCTTAACATAACAAGAAATGAGCAAATAATGTGAATATATTTTAAGTCTCCTGGAATAGCATTTACGCACATTTTAAACTCTAGTGAAATTGGAATAAAACAAATTCACCATCATTTGTTGCTAAAGGCAACTTAACTAATGTCATATTTATCTTAAATCGTGAAATTGTTTACGTCGAAAACTATGCTTACCAAAACTATGAATCCAGTCCATGTTAAGAAGTTTGGTTCATCATATGTTACATTTCTAATCACATTTTTGATGCTTGAGTTGATAAGAGTTTCATATTCCTGTAACACCCCAAACAAACAGAATTTGGAAAAAGAAAACGGAAGAACCTAATACTTTTTGAGTGACGATTATTGAATAAAGACTACAGACTGTTATTAAGAGTTTAATTTTTAATAACATCACATCTGTTGACTCTTCAATGTAGTTACTTGTTGATTCACTAAATAACTGGAAGGATTCTGACCCTGGCAAGAGAATGAGTCAACCTAAATCATCGCACCTCAGTGATCTTGAATGCTGTTGGAAGTATGAGGGCGGTTATCACACCACGGTCGCCCGCGCCGTAGAAGGGTTCTCCCAGAAATATCTGAAAAGTAAACTTGGTTAGAGGTGGTTTTAGCGACCTGAGAGCGTGACCGCAGTGCCCAAGAGACAACTGCTTGAAGCCAATCACACACGACCTTTTTGTGAGTAATTTTGTTAGCTCCCCACTTGTTGGGACCTTACTGCCGGAGACGGATATCCGTGGGGTAAGATGAGGTAAGCAGTTTTAGGGTCGATCTTTCTTAACCCCACTCCTCCTTGTGGGAAGGCAGCATCGTTGTTATGCTGGCTGTCTGAAGGAAATATTGTACTTCCACCACACCTCTGTACAGTCAGCAGTACGAATTCACCCTCAGTCTTAGGTTTGCTGCCTTTAGTCTTACCGTTTCTCAACCGACTTGTCTGGTATAGCATGACCTTAAGGAACGATTGTTCTAGCCAACATAGCTCGGTTGGTTCATTATAATAGGCAAGCCCGACACCACGTCAAGGTAGCAGCAACGGTCGGGTTAATATCGTACCTTGCAAGCACTACAATTAGCCACTTGAATTTAATGTAACTTAGTAGCCGAGTGGTGGCTAAAGTAGGCTATAGGATAGCTAGGTGCACCTGGATCAATGTACGATAGAAAAACTACCGTCCGTCGATTTGGATCGTGCTAGCAAACTCAAACTACCGGCCCGCATTCCTGGAGATAACCACCATTAGTGAATTTAGACACTGAGTGATAAGATTCAGAATTGACTAAAGTGGTGCAGATACACACAGAAATTAGTATTCCCAGGATCTTCAGTTTTAGTACATCTTCATCCATACCCTCTTCTCAAACCAACCAGATGTTCAGTGTCCCTCACTTTTAAAAACACAAGGTGAGAATTGTTTGCTTTCGGCAGGCTTAATGATGTGACTCTACACTTATATAAGGTTTTATAAATAAGTATAAAATTAATGACAAACATTATGGTGTAACACAAACCAAACGACTTAAAGAAGTCTAGAATAATACCGATTTTACACCATAAAACAAAATTTCTTATCTTTATGATGGAGATTAGTGACTACAGCATTAGCTGAGAAATCCAAATTTATATTTTTTACTCGTGAACAATGAGTGCAAATAGTGTAAATGATTTTCAAGTGAATAATTAGCAGTGCGACAAGAAGATGAATGTCATTGAGTAGTTTGGAAAAGACACCATGAAAACACATAAATAGACACTAATTGGTGAGTCTAACTAATGATGAAAGTAAGTAATACACCCACAACCAACCTTTTTTAACCTACGGACTGCAGCAGACATTGGCGCCGGAAAACCTAACGAAACCTAGCGCTGAATACACATACATTAAAACGATCATGATATCTGATTTCTTATATAAATTAGACTTGTAAGGTATATCGTCAACAAACTGAAAACAATGCCATAACCCGAAGGTATGTGTGACTTCAAAAATTTATCAGTGGGACAATTATGTCCTAATTAACATGAATGCAAACCCTAAGAACTGTAAGTACGTTGATTTTCTCTCAGGGTATTTGTAACTTGGTCTACTTGGTAGATTGTGTGTCATTACTAGATCCCCTATTGAGAATAATCCTGAATGTCGGATTCTATGTGAGTAAGATTTGTGTCTTAGACTAATCATTCACTGAAGCGCACCCCTGTAATTTTTCGAAGAAATTTATATGATTGTTGGAGATTGGCCGGGCAATATTATGACATTCGAGCTTAATCTGCGCGTAATTTCCAAAGAGTATCAAAAATAATTCTGAGAGGAAAACACTAAACTGTCTCCGTACAGAGTAGAGAGTTGAATTTTCTTTGGCTATGTCTTTGGTGTAGTTCGTGTTAGTGTGTATGCTCTTTGTGGCTGATGGTCCTAGGTTGTTCCCTCTGGGGTCGATTCGGAGAGGATGCTCATAGAAATTGTAAGTCGTTAGTGTACTTTTGGGCTGAATGCACATGGAATAACAACTTGCTAAGCTAAATTTCAACCCATTGTCTATCATCCGTTTCCCTGTTATTGTGAGATCCTTTTGAAGCTCAAGTGAATTCTCTTCATTTTTTACAAATATCCATATCTTCTCGACGTGATAATGGATTAGGGTAGTCTATCTGGTTTTACCTAGGATTTTCTTGATGAAAGCAGGCGTATGAGCGTAGGGCATATCCCACATGTGTCAACAAATATATGCAGTATGTAAAACCAGCCAGAAATGTAATGCCTGGCAGCAGAAGGTTGAAAAAACTGAAAAGCAGAGTTTTTGAGTATAAACAGAGAGTAATTGTAATAGTAACAGAGGAACAATGAAGTTTTAGAAAATTAATGGAAGATTAACAAGTGAGGTATTTTGTGTACGGTTTCCATGTTTTGTGAGGAAACTATGTAGTTTTGCATTAAACAATAAATTGATTGACTTCACTACAAGTCCACTGAAAGTAAACCTAAAATGGTCCTCTGTGAAATAGCATATGTTACGATTCTTCAGCCTGTGAAGACTTTGTTTACCTTAGCACTGAATATCAGGTTCCCAGGTAATTCGAAAACCTTTATGGAGTGGATCAATGAATTCCACATTTGCAACCTTTATTTCAGTGAGTGCGTGGAGTGCTCGGTCAAACGCTTCTATGAAGTTGAAGAATGATACATATATTTACATCCTTTGGTATCTGCCAGAAGTTCAGACGTGAAGGACCAATCTGTTTTAACCTGTATTGAGCTTCATTGGGGATTACCTCGTATTCGCAAGTTCCTAATTTATATGATTGGCATACGGGACAGTTGAAATTCCTCCCATTTATTAAGAACTTCATGTTGGTGAGTACCCCCTATTATCTTGATAAAAAACGAGATAAGTGGTGAATAGTTCTTCATGTTCAAATCCTGAAGGTCGGATTAGAGCGCCAGGTTCCAATCTCAAACCCAAAATGCCTTTCAACATTTAGTATGAAATGATGGAAAATATAATCCCTTTACAAATTAAGGGAGCGAATGGATACTTGAGATTTAATGTTCTGACATTTACTTAGTTGTTTGCACTTAACTGATGACCAATGAAACTGAGTTGTTACAATGATTTTCTTCTAGAATCGAATTCCATGATAATGTTGGTTCGAAAACATGTCGATTCTGTTTCCGTAGCCTAGAGGAGCATTGCCAATTCGTTCAATGTTTGGCTTTCAATTAACGACGACCAACACCCTGTTAGCATCCTCCGACATTCCATGGCTGTTATATACTTAACTAGCTTGTTAGCTTATTTCATACCATTTAACTGATCCCACAACTATCGCTCATCACTTGCTGAACGTGTCCTCTGTATGAAGATGAGATCTTGTAAGTGAATGGAGGGTAGGAAAATAAAACGGTACTATCTGGGGAAGCGCTGCGTGCGGGCTATTCAACAACATGTTGGTGAGATATGATTTTCTCATGCTCTCTCCGGCTCTCAGAAGTTTACCTACCTGCCTCTTAGGGCGCTCTCAGGTCAAAAGTAAAAAGGAATCTACTGCAAAGAAAAAATATTCAGACAAACCCGATGAAATGCTGCATTATTTGTATAAAATAATCAGGCACGAAAAGGAAATGTGCAATTAAAAGTGACAAATGTTCGATCCCCCATAAGCATTTGATTTCCAGAACGGATCGGCAATCTGGAGGGAGATAGACAAGGTGTAGAAATCTTGGGCCCGAAAGTGAATGGAAGACGGAAAGCTACTGTTTAATAAATTATTTAATTGTATAAGCCTGCCAGAAGTTGAATTCATCACCAAACTAGATGAAATATATGACCTTGGGTCTGTGATTATTGCCCTCGATAACCGGGTTTGTAACTGCAGGTACAATAGTGTTCGCTAACTAGGAAAATTAGAACATATGTTTGCGAAAAAACAAAAATACTAAGAGTACTAGAATCAGAGTCTTATAGATTATCCATTTCATTGTCTTGATGTGATTATGTATTGATATTGGTCTTAATCACGTAACTCTGAAAGTTCAACATGAGATAACTGGAAAAGTAGATACTCAACCTTTAACATAGCGAGAAGGCCAAGAATGGAGAAGGCGGGAACAATTAATTGAATTGATACACTCAATTGGACAACATGGGTCATCCTTGTAGACGTGATCATTCTTCTGTAACTTATCTCTTCTATTCATATTAAATGTATTATTCTATCTCCAGCCTAAATATGCACTTCAGGATTGCCAAACATTATACTGCTGATTGTTACAATACGACGAATCAGAATATACAATGATGTGGTTGCCAAATAAGAACTTATGGATCAGGTTTTCACTTCATGATAAGATCTACAATTTCAGGATTGAGTCTATTACTGTAGCGGTACTAATAACAAACTAGACCATAATTCTACAAGTATACATGTTACGGTAAAACTATTTTATAAGCCACCTAGGAACCGAGCTGTTTTGCACCTTACAAGTGTACAAGTTTTATCAGTCAAGATTATCGCTAATAATCAACCAATGTAAGGGAATATTGCGTTCAAGCCCACTGCGGACCCATGTGGTCTGTTGATTAGGCGCGTGTTCTAACACCTGAGAGGACGATGGTTCGTGTGCATGCTAGGGCAACACTTTTGCTTACGGAGCTAACATCCATACGGTGTTTGGTGGCTGTAAGTTACTCAGACATGAAAAGAAACAGAAAAATGGGTTAGCACACGAAGGTGCCCCAACAATCCGCATTGGAATGCAAAGTGTTAGCTGACAGATAGCCTATTGAGATGTAGACAGCATGCGTTCTCTACTTATACTAATAATAGACTTCGTTTTCATTAATAATGTGGGTATATATGTGACTCGTAAACGCGCTCCATTGTCTAGCTCGGATCACTTTACAATTCGTGTTCTACCTAAAGTATATGGAAAGCATGTGAAGAGTACACTCTTACATCAAACCAAGAAAGTCAAATATAGGAATTACTCAGAAAATATCCGAAATCTGAAAAACATGTTTCATACGACTATCTAGGAATTATTTACAGATGACTCACTGGAAAACACTACTGATGTTATCACTTGTTACCTTAAATTCTGTTTTGATATTTGTTGTCGCACTGAAACCATTTTTGTATGTTTCGATCAACTTACATCTTCACAACTAAAACGACTTCAGAGGATGGAAGAATATACACGGAGAAAAACACTAATGAAGTTCTTAAGCTAAATGGTCTGATAAATCTAGGGATTAGACGTCTCAACTCTATGTTTACTCAAAAACTCTTGTCTTGTAAAAACTTCCCAAGTATATGGAAACTCGTTAAAGAACTTACAGGTGACAGACAGATTAAGAGCGATAACCAGCTGAATGTTTTGTGACTTAAATAAGTCTTTTGTATGTCAGTCATCTGATGTAATGTTCCCTTCATCCACAGGTTTAAAAAATAGCTGTGTTCCTAGTTTCGCTGAAACTGATGTACGAAGATGTCTCGAGTCACTTAATTCATCCCGATGTTTGGGACCTGATGGTATAACAAACGTCTTTTTTAAAAATCTGCTGACTTCCTATGTTACCCATTCACGACTATCCTTAACAGATCTTTCTCATCTAATCTCATACCGAAAATGTGGAGAAAGATGAAGATAATCCCTGTACCCAAGAAAGTATCTGGTGATAATAATGTGAAATTTAGACCTATTGCAATAATTTCACCCTTCCTCAAAACAATGGAAAAATTATTAATACTTCGACTTCAGCCTGCGATAAAAGAGCATATTGATCCGTATCAGTTTGTTTACAGATGCAAAAGAAACACCTTAGATGCTGTCGCTGTTCTGCATCACAGTATAGTGTTCAACTTAGAAAAGGGTAAGAAGTATGTTCGATGCGCTTTTCTGGACTATAATTCAGCATTTGATTCTATACCAAGACAACGTTTACTTAACAAGTTAATCAGCGTCAACACTGACAGCTGGATAACAAACTGTCTATGTTCCTACCTCTCTGGAAGGGAACAGTACACTGTATTTGGAGGAAAGTTTTCAGAGTCTCTACTGTCTCATGAAAATGTACCACAAGGAGCTGTTCTTTCACTTCCTTTTTTCTCTTTTTTCCTGAATGATCAGCCATCTTCAACAAAAAACACTTTCGTGAAATATGCGGATGATCTTACTGTATGTATGCCTATCTCTTCCTCTTTATGTCCCATAGAAATGAGTGAGTTTTTGTCTCATATTGATTATTGGTCTATCGGTAATGGTCTTATACTTAATCCGTCTAAATATCAAGCTGTTAACTTTAGCATGAGACATAATAATAATATATTTCTGCATGTGCAGGTACACACCGTTTTTACAGGCATGATCTAT